AGGGTTCACCCACGGAACTGCCAGACTCCTCCAGTCATGCCAGGCACAGGCCTCTGAGCCGAACTCAAACCCCGGGGAGGAGCTCTCAGGAAGAGCCAGGAGCTCAGCGGCTGCAGGGCCCACGCGCTAACGTACAGGTTTGAGCTCCTCCCGGTCAAGCTTGCGTCGGTACAGCAGGATGGCGTGGATGGCGTTGCCCGCTCTGGCCGCCTGGATCTGCGTGGGCACGATGTACAGCAAGTCCTGGCGGAGAGAGAACACGTGGCAGGGGCGGCATCTGACCGTGAGAGTTCTGGTTTCCGGGGCACGTGGAGGTGGCGTCTGCACAGAGCTGCAGTCTGGAAACTCCCTGAACACTGGGTGATGGACCCAGAAGAGACCCAGAGGCCCAGGGCGCAGGCGCCACAGGGGGAAGGGCACCGAATGCCTTGCTCCTTGGTGTGGGCTGGGGGCCATAAGCCTTCAAAGCCGCGGCATCTACAAAGCCGTGCAAGACTCCAGTACCCTAAGGTGTGAAACATGGTGCACCGGCATGGACTGAGCCGGAGTCCACGCCGCCAAACACTGCCTGCGATGGCTAGTTGGTACTAGACACTCTGGGAGAAGGCGGGGGTGGAGCCTGACCTGTCAATCACATTGCTGCCTGATGATACCTCCTTGGGGGTGTGGCCTTTGGTAAGAAGGCAGAGACCCTTCATCTGCTACTACACTTGGATCCCACATCTGGTCCAGCCATCTCGCCTGTCACCGGCTGATCCCAGGACTCGCTGGCGACCAGGTGACCTCAGATTCATTCGGCCGACTGTGGATCCATTTACCTCTGCATCCACCAGCCCTTCTGCTCGGTCTTCCTGCTTCCGGTTAGTTCTCACAGCTACGGGAGTCAGGAGAAGCCTTCGGCTCACATCTGACTCACGGACTCAGAGTGAACCGGACCTTACCTACTTCTACAATTCCACGAGCCACTTCTTGTTGTGCATCTCTCTCTGTATACACACACACACACACACACCCCTCTGTTTCTGCATCTGTGGAGAAGCAGAGCACAGAGGCTGAGGGAGAC